TTTTTCAACACTCTGACCACATGATTTAACATTTCAACACTCTCACATTTTAAGGCCTTTACATTTCAACATTTTTATTGTTAACATTCTTTGCGTCATAGTTTTTTCACAGATCTACAAGAAATAAAGACAACAGTATAAAAAACACAATTCATAATTTTATTTACAAACTTATACATCAATTCACTACAGAAATTACACGCCAAAAAAAAAAAACAAACAAACAAACAAACAAACAAAAACAACAAAAAATTTATTTACACATCTTATTTATATCAATCATTCATCCTCGCTCGAAGCAAGGTCTTCTTCGTCAACACCTTCGTCTAGGGGGGTCTGGGCCACATCGTTTTCATCTATCCTCACAGTGTTGAAGTCCAAGTCTGGGAACAGCTCTTATGCTTTACGCTTAAAAGTCTTCTAGCCGCTGTCCCAAAACTCAGTCATCTCATGCTTGTAGAAGTCTGACCGCTGGAAGGTCTGGATCATTTCTTCTTCACTCTTCTTTCCAGCGGTCGCTCCCAATGGGCCAGCCCCCCTATCTCTCTCTCTCGCCAGGCTGTTAGCGATAGCGACATCAATGGCCATCTGGAAGTCGGCGGACCCCTTGAACTGCTCTACCCCCGCCACACATAGGTCGAGGTATGCCACCCTCTCAGATGCCAGCTTGGCCCTTTCCTTCTCCAAGGCCTTCTTTAACCCTGCCTTCTCAGCCACTAACTTGGCTCGCTCGTCCGCCAGCCCCCTCTCTAGCTGAGCGATCTTCTAATCTGCTTCTTCTTTTTCTTTGATCGACTGAGCGCATAGGTCTTCATTGCAGACCATGGCCTCATTCCACCTTTCGTTGGCGACGATGCAGGCTTTCTGGGCCTCTTCTAACTTCTTCTGCTCGCCAGCCAGTTGGAACTCGAGCGACACCATCTTGCGGCATTCCGTCTCCAGCTCTAACTTGGTCGCGAGCAGTTTAGCATTGGCACGGTCGGCCGAATAGCCCTGCCCTATCGTCAACACCTCTATTTTTTTGGCGTTTTGGGCATACTCCAGCCCCTATCTCCCTCCTTAAACTTTCAAGCTGGGCCTTCACCTCCTTCAGCTTTGCCTTCAGTGGCTGAACTTCGCCTTTTGTGCGCACCGCTTTGTTCAGTAGGGCTCCTGCTAAGGCAGTCGCCTCCATCTGGACAGAGCACGACCCCCTTAGCAGTTCGGCCTCAGTGAAACTGGCCATAGAACGCATGGCCGCGTCCTCCACTACTCCCATGAGCCGATCGGCAGCAGTCTTGGCTTCACCTCCTTCTCCTTCTAGTCACCCGAACACTGCTGGAGCGTGGTAAATGGCGGTCTTCAACATGGCCCTCCCCCCTTCTCCTTGGGGCGCAGGACCTCCCTTGGGTTGTTGCTCTCCCCCCTCCTCAGGGCCAGTCGCCCCACTTTCTACTTGTTTTTCAGGGCCAGTTGCCCCACTCTCCATCCCCTTCGCTGCTTCTTCCAACCCACTTCGGGGGTCTCCTCCACCATCACCTCCTTCATCCTCTTCAAGGCTGGCCCCTCTTCACTCTCCATTACTCTCTTCTTCTTCTTCTTCAACACAGCATCCACCTCCTTGTTGCCTCTCTCCTTCAACGGATCAACTGGGGGCGGTTGTGGCTCAAAATCGCTCAAGTCTTTTTCCCTCAGCAGCTTGGGGCGCGGTCGGATTCTTTCCCTCGCAATCGGTTTTGGCAGACGGCCTAACTGTGCTTCTTTGTATTTATTGGCCTTGGCAAAGATTGTCCTATCCTCCGCCTCTTGCGCCTTCCTCCTCATCTCTAGCTCTGCCAGCGCAAGATCTCCACCGGTCGGCTGAGGGCCCAGCCTTGAGGCAAACAAGGCTGAGGGCTGAATGAGGTCGTCCCACTTGGCGCCCTCATTCTCCCTTCATGCCTTCACCTTCTTCACCCTCTCCTCTGCTGCTGCCCCAACCTTGGCTCCACCAACTTGGTTGGCACTCTCCACACTGTACGTACTCGTACTCCTCCGTTTGCGGACACATAGAACCCCTGCGGCCTCCACCCCTTAATTGACGACGGCAATCCAGCCACCAGACCCTTCCCTGCCGCCACTTGTAAAGTGACCCAAGTCTCTTGCTGGCCCGAAGCCTTGTAGCATGCAAAAAACTCGTCCACCGTCATCGCAGCCCCCTCGTTCGCCCGCGGCCATGCGCTTGCACAAGCCAGTAAAATCTTCCACGCATTGGGCATTAGTTGACCCGGCGCCACCTCCAACCGGTTTAGCACATCCACTACCACCTGCGGAAGCCGCAACCTCAACCCCTCCTTCAATGCCTCCTTGTAGAGGGCAAACTCCCCCGGTCGGGCGTCGGATGGCCTCTCTTTCGGTGTCGGCAACTTTAACTCTATTTCTGCAGGAATCTGATATTTCTCGCGCATACCCTCCAACTCTTCCGCGGTAAAGGTCGACTTATCGGCCTTCGTGTGCCAGTGATCTGGCTCAACCTGACTAATTGGCTTCGCAGCTGCTATCAGCGTGGACGAGCAGGGTCGCCCTGCCGGTCCCCCCTCACTCCTTACTCGCTTCTCCGTCCTGTATTGCTCCGCCAGGTCCACCGCGTCGTCATCTCCCAAGGCATCTAGTCTCACGGTGGGCACTTCCTCTCGAGCCATCTCTTTGGTATGCCTACTTATAGCTTCAGATGCTGGTACAAGGTAGTTCACAAAATGTTGCAAAGGTGTATCACTCGACACAAAGGAGTTTACTCTTGGAATGTTTTGGTTTTTTGCAAAAAGATAGGTAAAGTGGATAATACCAAAAGCCCAAGGCTTGCCTGTATTCCAAGGGTCACAATTAAATTTTGCCAGCTTGAAAATTTTCAAAAAATCCGCCAAAACCGTTTTTTCAGCACCCTATGTTAACCTACCCTTTCGTTTCTTGCCCAACGCCTAACCTCCCCCATCACGGGATTTCGCCACGTGTACGACTACGATCAACTGTCCCCTTCCCCAACCCTGTATTTTCCATTTCAAATCACCATGTGCCCTGCCACTTCTCGAGCCCCGCGCATCGCCACTTGCCTCCCCACTTGGCCACCCTTCGCGGTCGGCCTTCCTCATGGTCGATCCATCTACTCGGCCATCCTTCGCGGTCAGCCCTCCTTAGGGTCGGTCCCTCCACTCGACCACCCTTCGCGGTCGGCCCTCCTCATGGTCGGTCCCTCCACTCGGCCACCCTCTACGGTCGGTCCTCCTCATGGTCTGCCCCTCCACTCGGTCACCCCTCGCGGTTGCCACACCTCAAGGTCGGTCCCTTCGCTCGGCCACCCATCGTCGTCGACACACCTTTCGGTCGGTCGAGCCCTGCCGGTCTCTCACAATCATCGTTTTCTTCATTATTCCCTTTGTTGGACTAAAGCTGCACTTGGGAATGGGGGACTACTGACATGGGTAAGCCCATAAAGGTTATAGGCCACCACTTAGGGCCCAATACATAATTCAAATACTAAAGCCCAACGTTGTTGGAGCTCAACGTGGCATTAAGAACCAATGACATCTAAACACGTGGCAAGAGAAAGACAAGCCACATAAGCAGACAATGCAAAGTTATTGCACTGCACATCAGCCATTAATGGAGTTCTTTACAGCATTTATTGCGATAACCCCTCCCCGTCGGGACAGAATGATCTCACCATGAACAAGGTAAGCTAGAGCATAAACTTTCAGCCAAGACGACAGGTCGGAAGGGACAACGAAATGATTACTAGAGGATATAAGCAGGCATCTAAGACGAGAAGAAGGTTAAGCATTCTATCTCTCTACATCTCATCTCTCTTTCTAACTTGCTTGTCGGAAGGTTCGCTGGGAGACTCCTCGTTCCCCGTTGAACTCTTGTGCAGGTTCCTCTGTGAGCTTGGTACCTCGGACACTGGTTTAGAAAGCGTGGATCAGTCCGACCCGTTCCATCTGGAACACGATGTATGATCAATAATAAAAGTACAAAATACTAAAAATGTAATTAACTCTCAATCAACATTTATATAAGAATTGGAAATATTCAAAAACAAAATAAAATTAGTGGCAATAAAACAAAAGCGAAAATAACTATGGAGCCCAATGATAAAAAGCTAAAATTACCAAAATCTTAATCCGAAGATTTGTAACATTACATCTTGGTACTGCTAAATTTTTGTGTATTAATTTGCTTAATTTGATTGTATCTATAGGCAATTTGTTGTATTTTGTGTTTTATTAAATATTTTTCAAATAATTGAATGTGTTTGGTTATTTGTATCTAGATAAATTTATCTTCATATTGCTATCAAACAAAGTGAATCAATATCATTAATCACTTATTTCATCAAAAATTGTTGTCATTCATATTTTGGGGGCAAAGTAAACTAATATCAATAGTTTCAAGTACAACTCTATGGCATGACAAAGTCCCTTCCAAACATGTAACTAATACTTCAGATAAATTACACTTTGCCCCCATTATATTTTACCATTTTCCCACTTTGTTCTTTTGATTCAAAAAAAAAAAAAAAAAAAAATCACTTTAAATTTGGATCAAAAGTGCAAGTTAAATATAAAAATAACTTACATCCCAGTGGAACAAATAAAAAAAATTTACAGACATGAAAAGACGTCAATCAAACTTGCATCCCTATAACTTTTGAGTTACATCCTACCACACATAAGGAAGTACACCTCTCATGTTTTACAAATTTTTTTTTGTCTTCTACCGTGCATTATTATTTTTCATAAATATAATGATATATTTTGTCATATGGGCTATCAATTTGACATTTTCTCATCTAATTTTGGACAAAAATAAACTTTACAAGTAAATTAAGAAAAACAACTTGAAACATTAAGGGAGGAGGGAGAGGGGAGGAACATTTAGAAGCTAAAGTGAAAAAATGACAAAAACATACAAGGACAAAATGTAATTTATCCCCCCAAAACTTTGCTACTCTCTATCCACATCGTCACCCACAGATCCAAAAAGCATTGTAAAAAAGTAATAGTCAACTCCAATTTTAAGACCAAATTTTGCTTGTACAATTTGCATCAAATTTGACACGAACCCCCTTTTAAGATCCAAGCAATTGCTCTGATGGAACAAAATAAATAGGCCCAATCAAGACCCCCAGGCCGAAACAGAAATGAAACTGTAATGTGAAGAGAAAAAAAAATTACAGGGAAATTCTAACCCTAATCCTACCCCTACACCTGTCAATTTAACAACAGTTTCATCAGCCTTGTTAAATTACATCCCTTCTTTTTGAGTCTTAACCCCTGCCCTTCTTTCCCAAATGACCTGTCTTCCGCTTGTGACGGCTGAAATCTGAAACAAACCGGAACGTCTGGCCACAGCCTGACTCAGAGCAAACATATGGACGCTCACCCGTGTGAACCCTAATGTGTTCAGTCCGAGCCCATGCCCATTTGAATGTCATCTTGCAGCCTTTCCAAGGGCACTTTAATGGGCGGTCATCCATATGAACACGCCGGTGCTGCACCAAATACTTGTGAGAGAAGAACTTCTTTCCACACCCCTTCACCGGACATACATTTCGTTTGTGCAGCACAAGCTCTTGTTTCGACCCAAAACTCATTGTGCAACCCTCAACATCACATGGGTATTCGCCTTCTACGTCTCTTACCTTCACATTGCTGTGGGAAGTTGTAGCCTTCACAGCTGGAGGTTTCTTTGCTTTCTTACTATTTGTTGGCTTCTTTAATACTGGCTTGGATTCAATTGGTTTCTCTACCAACTCTTTTGCAGGCTTCGTGGTTCTTTTCCTCAGCCGTGTGCTAGGTCCACCATCCAGCTCATCCTCAACGCAAGAATCGAACTTTCTTGTGTTGCTGTTAGAACTTCTCTGAGGACGAGGGGTCTCTGTTTTCACTTGTTTGTTTCTAAGATTTCTCGTTCGCTTCTGATAACCCTCCTCGGGTGAACCATCTGAAGCTACACCCGAATCCTCTATTTTTGGGAATTTAGCTTTCTTGAATGCCGCACCTTCTGTTTTATTCTTCCTCTTCTTTCCAGTCTTCCTAGTTACAGAGGTTGTTTCAGCACTGTGGGTGCTTTCTGACAATCTCTCACGCTTCACATCAGGTTTTGCTCGAGCATGAAAACTTCTCTCTTCTTCTTCCTCTTCTTCCTCCTCTTCAGCATCTTTTTCTGCTAACAAAGGATGAACCTGATTTGACATCCAGACTTTCCCACACCATTTTCCTGCCACAACTATTTTTTTCTGTTTGCCAAAACCCTTCCCATGAACCTTCAGTTTTGTTAGACGTCCAAACGCTTTATATATAATACTGTTGTATGGAATCTGCTTACTGTAGAGAGGAGAGCGGCTTAGGTTGACACTGTAGAAGAGATTGATACCTAACTTAACAGCCCAGTCTCCATTCCCATGCATGGCTTCTTCACTTTCTAGAGCTAATTGTATCCTCTCTTCATCTTCTTTATTGGCATCCCTGATTGCAATATCATTCCAGAAATAATCAATTCCCAGTTCTTCTGCCACTAATTTTGCTTCGGCCTCTAGTTCTGGATAGTCTGCATATTTTTCACCAAAAACTACAAGTTACTTAAGGGAAGAAAACAATCTTAATAGAACACCATAAATCTATTGGTAGGAATTTCTTTATTGCAAGAGAAGTACATCATCATCAAGAAATGACAATGATAATCCTTTTTTTTTTTTTTGGGCTGTAATTCTTTAACAGAGCTTTCTTCAGCAACTAAAATGAACATATATGGTCACAAAATGGTTGGCACATAAAGCTTGCTGCAAAACACTATATACTGAATGACTAACTCTATACTATCCTTAAGGCTGTGTTTGGATCAATGATTTGAGTAGGGATTTGTGGAGGGGGGGAACTTTTTCTTCCTAACTTTTCCTTTCTCTTTTATTTTCCCTCCACAAACCCCTCACAAATATTTGATCCAAACACAGCCTCAAAAGCAGTAAACCTCTGCCCAATGGTATTAAATAATTTTATTTTCATTGTGGCACTAATTATACACAAAGCAAATGAAATGGGAAATTATTCATATTATATACGAGGGGCAGGAGTCTCGAGCCTCTTAAGCCCACAGGTGTGCTTATAATACCATAGCAGTGCATAAAAACAAAACTTTGGGTACAAGAACAAGCACAAGCACAAGCATGTCCTCACCTAATTCAGATCACCCCAGTTTAACACAAAACATATCATTTATGTAATCTGAATTCTAAAACATGTTTTAGCCTTTCAGAGAAGGATAAGAACTGAAAAAGAAGAAAATTTGCAGGTGAATGAATGAATAAGAGGAAAAATGTCATTTATTTATCAAGAGTTATTCTGTTACATTACAGCACACCTGGATGACAAAGGAGTAATATATGAGCTCCACCAATTGGACGAAGTCGCTGTTCTACTTCTGCAGCATGCTGAAGACAGAAGACGTGCAATCTAGAAGAATCCTCGTCAGACCTCGGAGCAAATGACATGGTGGTGTTCTCAAATGGGGAAACAACATTGCTAATACCTGTGACACCCCTATGGGCAACTGGAGAACCATTGGAGGCAGAAGGCGATAGCTTCATTTGATGTCTAGACCAACTCCCTACACTATTTGACTCCATGAAAGCAGTATTATCAGTTTCAAACTCAACAGAATAGTCGAAAGTTCGATATTTACCCATAAAATTAGATCTTGGATGTCCATCATCCACATAAGAATCAATGACTTGGTGAGGAACATCATCATCAAAAGCAAGTCTGTGACAACCAGTTGCCTCACTATGACGCTTGAGAGAAGGCAATCCTGTATCATCACATTGGAGGCTACTTCCTGGTGAACAATCTCTCGATTTGATTTCACTGTCAAAAAGAGGAATATCTGCTTCAACCGCTTCTTCCTCAGAGTCGGAAGAATTACCATAATTCAAAGCCAATAGACCAAGGGCAGAAGTGGTTTTTTGTGTTTCAGTGTTGGAAACCACTTCTGTACTTTGATGTACTGTTTGAATTCGATCAGAAGATTGAACTGGGACATCAAACAAACCATCTGGAGTGCTCTTTTGCATCCATCCTGCATTTAGATGAATGAAAAACAAGTTCAAGTCTAGTTGCAATTTGCAAATGCCCCACCATTTTAAATCTTCAAATAAAATGATACTAATTTTATATTTTTATAATGCTGAATTAAATCAGTGTATTATGGACATGAGATGCATGCAATAATTACCACTGGTGATCAATTTTAAGCCGCGTCTAGATTTAAGCTAATCAAGGCAATACTAGGATGGGCGTTAATTTACCTACTAAAATATCACTCGTCTCTACCCAAGTTCCCAGCAGCACAATTCCATTTTTGTCTGAATTGCATAATAAATGGGCTTTTAAATGCAGTATTCTGCCAGTGACCCTTTTGGGGCCTTGGCTTACCCATGCTTTCAGATGCAACCAAAATCGGTAGAAATCTTGCCAGATGAGCATGTTTAACACATGCATGATCAACTAAATGAAATTGGATTAGTAATGGAAAAAGCATCCAAAAAAATTACATGCCAAGGTGCAGGATGATCTAATATAGTAGAAATAAAACTAAATGTATGGAGTGTAACTTTAGCAACAACAGAAGTGAAAATATAAGAGAAGTGAAAATTGAAAACCAAGAGAAAACAAATAGCGAACATATTTGCTATCTAGGTTCGATTATTAACAAGGACGGTGAGGTTGGAGATAATGTGATTCATATAATCAAAATAGGTTGGCTCAAGTGCAGGTGTGCATTTGGCATATTATGTGATCGACGAATACCAAGTAAATTGAAATGCTTTACGGGATAGAGTGTAGCTAACTAAGAAACAACATGTTCATAAAATGAGTGTATCCAAGATAAGAATGCTTTGATTAAAGTGCGGTAAAACTAGAAAAGATAGAATTAAAAATAAAAATATTCCTGAAATGGTAGGAGTAATACCTATTGAAGATAAGTTGAGAGAATAGGTTAAAATGATTCGGTCACATACAACGAAGACTTATAGATGCAACGATAAGGAAGAGTGATAGGATCACCATCAATGGAGATGCAAGGAGGGAGGGGTAGACTAAGTTAACATGCTATGCTGTAGTGAAAAAAGATATGAATTTATTTAATTTAGTTGTAACACACAGCCCTTGATAGAGCTAAATGCCGAAAAAAGATTCATGTAGCCAACCCTACTTGATTGGAACACAAGACTTAGTTTGGTTTGGTCTGAGTAGTGCAGATCCATGAATAAAAGCAAATCAAAACAAAGAAAAAGTCTTCTAGAAAAAACCTACCAGAATGGGAATTCAGTTCAGGCAAAATTGCAGCCGCAGTTAAACCATCACTAGTTACTCCAGGACCATCATCCTGATTATTAAAGTTCCTACAATCAGCTGACATGAGATGATGTGCAGCTTCTTCTCTAGGTTGAACAATGGCAACACAAGCAAAGCTCAAAATCCCACAAGTGATGCATGAAAACAATCCTTGATCTGACAACCTATCACCTTGAGCTGTTCTTTCTCTTCCAGCGTCTGCTTTGTGTGTCTGAGAAGCCAAGGTGCATGCATCATCACTACCGCTTAAGAAGGAAAGCCTGCTCCCATCAAACATAGGGGAAGATTTTCCCTTCACGGGATAGAAACTTGCAAATTGCTTTAACCCACGCTTCCTGTCTATCATGATATTTTCTGAAACTAAACTTTCCGAGGCTTTCATTTCTTCTTCAGGATTGCATAAACCAAGGGGCAATCTATGACTTCCTTTTAATTGGGATGCAACACGTAAATTTGAACAAACATCTAAGGAATTCTGGGGTAGAAGCACGATGGAAGATCCTTCCCCAAGAATATGAAGCAGGTCATTATTCCTCATCACATCCTCCACAAATAGCTCTTTGATTAAGGCTTCCCCTTCACCCTTCTTTTTATCCTTTAATCTTGAACTCCGCGGTTTAGTACTGATGCTCTTAGGTATCCTATAGGAAGAGAAGGTAAAAAAGGTAAAAAAGAATCAAATTTGGAAGTCTAATTGGTTAAGATCACTAACTCACTATATTATTCACACTAATCAGATAGAAAACAAAATCATGAATAATTTGCATTTGATACAAGCTTCTTGCACAACTGGGGCAGAAATGTTGAAATATGACATAGTGGTTCTCTTGTGATTTTTATTTTTCATATTGCATGTATAACAATATTAAGAGAAACAAACACCCCAAAAGAAAGCACCACAAATACTGCAGGTTTTTGACAAGAACAAAAAACATAGCCAACGCTAGTAGAAAATTTGAATGATGTAAATAATGGATTTACATACTCTAATCTAAATTTTTTTCTTTCCTTTTTATTTATTTATTTATTGGAGAAGGGCTGCGTCCAGCAAGCTGGATCAATATGTCCTTTAGATACAACAACTAAGAATATCTGCTTTAGAAGAAACTCCATCACCACCTACTTTGAAATATGAACTAGAATAGTTTGATAATAGTGAATTATAGAAACAATAATGAAGATATTTGGAGGGAATGATACTTCCAGCAAGAGAGAGAGAGAGAGAGCAAACCCTGAACATAATGACAGTGCAAGATCATAAAGCAACTGGAAGTGAGACACCATGGGAGGACAATTGATTGAAGCTCTGCGAATAGCAGCATCTTTGGCAACCCTCAACCATTCAGGAGTTGCAATATTAGCTGCCTCTCCAATATTAAATCCTGCATGGAAAAACCAAGTAGGCAGTACAATTCATCATTCTTTAAATCTATTCATATAACATCAATATTATATTAGTCGTAACAATAACTCCAACCTTAAAAGACAAAGCAGAGGAATAAGAAAAGAAAAGGCATATTGAAACTGAGAGAAGCCTTACCATGACTAAAACCTGAGTGATAGGCTCTAGGGAAAGTGACAACAAATTCTCCAGCATTTTGCACCAACCTGATCAGAAGAAAACAGCAACATAAGAAGAGTACGGATGTATTCACATCACCACTACTAGACCATGAAGCATGCTGCAATGAACTTTAACAAAGAACAACTTAAAATGATAACCAGATTAGTAGAATGAGTTCTAGATGTGATATTAAATGGTTATTTTCTTGTGGATGCAAGGCAGGTCCAGCTAAGTATAGTTCTTCAGCATGCGGCATTACATGTTCTTTATTTTTCATCCCTTTCCCTCTAACTTCTTTTTATCAATACGGCTACTAACAGCTTCATAAAAGGCACATTGAAAAGTGATCTTCAAGTTAATTGTAGAGGCCATCACAAGGCATTCTTCTTTCAGATGCAATCGAAGTTAGTTTTCAAAGCCAATACCAAACTTGCAATAGTAGGAAATCAGAGTGATCAAAAGGTCACCTGCAGCATGGAACACCAGCACTAATAAGTACTTCTGGTGACATTACAGTAGTCTTCTTACCAAGAGTAGCAAAAGTCACTGAAAGAAATGAATCACAAAATGTAAAAAAGTTTAGTAGGATAACTTTAAGAGACTAATTCAATTTTATACAAAATTCTAAACTGAGTAGCATTTTCTGTTAACCCAAAGAAGACCTTCCAAATCTCTGAAACAACCAAAACAAGTGAATAGCTCATTTGGAAGCCCATGGGTAGTGAGTAAACATTACCAATTGAGATGTCATTAACATGAAATGAAAAAAGGTACTCTTTGAAAAACCAAGATGTTACAGCCCTAAAAGACATCTAGTAGTAGTTCAATATCTAAAAGTCTACAACAACAAAAAAAAAAAAAAATTGTGTCCCTATCAACCTTCCTATGTTACACTCTCATGCTTAAAATTATCAGCAAAAAATAAATGATCACGGTGAAGGCACAGTAAGTAAGAACTCTAAGTGAGCTCTCAAAATGTAATCTAATGCATCCTGCTTGTAAGGAGAAACCACAAAGCCCCTAATAAATCCTTTTCAATGTTGAAGAGCTGGATTGCAACATCTACTTGCTAGTATATCTCAGTATCTTATTTCTCTGATTCCAAATAAGCCCTTTCAAGAAAACAAAGCCACGTATACATTTTTACATTTATGTATATATAACTTGCACCTTCTCCCTTAGAAATTTAATCAATTCCTAAAACCAAGCCATCCTTAATTTGTGATCCATCCTCACTTCATGCGTCAAATGTAATTTACAGCTCGCAAATCAAATTTTAGTTATCTAATACTTTACCTATCTAACTGAAAAGGATAACTCCTGCCAATTCCTCACCTTCGCTGAACTTTACGGTGTTCATTTGTAGGATAGAGTACGAATATGGGATGGAATTAGAACTTCATGATAAGATTAATTACAGCTAATAAACAGTGACATGCAACAATATTTGCAAGATGAAGGCAGAGCATATGAGAATAGTAAACAGGGGAAGCTAAATTTTGATCGCTGGTTCAATGCAGTACTGAACTCACCAAGAGGATTGATCTCTCCTCCATATCCATGAACCCTGATCACCTCCTCAAATGCAACCGCCGCTTCCTTTGGCACGCCATACCACGTCTTCCCCGCCCCCGTATGCAAGTAATTCAAGCTATGCAAGTCATGATCCTCCACGTGCCAAGCAAACCAACTAAACATCATAGCAACATACACCATTGGCGATGTCACGCCTGGAATTTCCTCTTTCATGAACCTCAACAAAGACCCTTTAGCCCTAGACACCCCTCTCATGTTCCAAGCAGTCTCACCAACATTCACTCCCTCCCCTGTTTCCTTCCCATTCCTCACACTCGCCGGCACGAATGCCGAACCTGGCATATCATTAGCATACTCAACCTCAAAGGGTTTATCCCCACTCGCCTTCCAGTAAAGGGTTTCGACTTCTAATCCCGATAACCCCTTCTTCGGGGTCTTCTTCAAGTAACTCTTCTCGAAATTCTTCGCTTTGAACTCGAACTGAGGCAGAGTATAGTTCTTGCCGCTCTCCACACCGGTTTCTGGACCGGCCGGTGCTTCCGGGCGCAGAATCCGATCTGCTGCTGCCTAGTGGTGAATGTGGGAGCCGAATTAGGGCTCGAAATCGTGGACCTCACAACCAGAGACCGATTGAGGTTCGCAATTGCGGTCTTCTTCGGTGGAGCCGAGACGGGAGGAACAATTTTGCAGATTCCATACTTGGAGGCCTCTTTCTCGATCTTGAAAATGTAAGCAATTGGATCTTGGAACTCTGATAGGGTTGGGTGGTACTCTGGAGCCAAAGGTAGGGTTTTGAGCCATGGAAACACTTCTGTTGTAGTCGGTTGCTCTGCTGTAACTGCTATTGAAGCCATTAAATCAATTACAATTGCATATACATATACAAATACATATATATGTGTATCAGAGATCTACAAGTCTTAGATAGAGAGGGGAAGAAGAAGCTGTTGAGATCCTATTCCCTTATTTTCTTTTTTGGATTTTCTTTTCTTTTCTTTTCTTTTCTTTTCCTCTGCTTTCGATATGTTTAACAGGGGAGAGAAAAATAGAGAAAATAGGGCAGGGGAGGTGGGGAGTGAGTGAGAACAGAGGCAGTGAAACATGTGAGTGGGTTTTTATCCTGGGTTTTAATGTTATTTACCTTTTTGCCCCAAATTTTTGGCCTGATTATAAATATTTTATAATATATAATTATTATAATATTATTGATAGATAAATAGTATATTATATCACAGGCTTATGAACTTTTCATTATTTTTGTTTTGAAAAGTTGGTTAAAAATTAATTTTTTTAGCTTTTTATGGGTAGAAAATATGAAAGATGATGTGACCTAAAATGAGTTAAAAGTCATCTTTCCAAAGTGCCCCTAACTACTCAACTTTAATTTTCATTCAATAGCCATAAACTACCTTGTCTCATGTTCCCTCCGTCAGAGTCTCTGACATTCTGGCCGACACATCTCGATATTGTGTATCAGTTTATATTCTAGTTGAGATTAGGATCCGCGTCCAATCCACTGAAAGCATATGTTGCTTTGTTGATGACTTATGAAAACCGCTATCAATAAATTCATACACTTGTCCCTCTATCGTTTAGGCTTTTGTTCCTATCTACGTGTGATTGGTAAATAAATTCAATGGTGTTGTTTTTGCTTGGGAAACCAAGTTTGGTTGAAATACTACTAATGATTAGTTTTAGCTTCTTTAGCTTTTCAAATTGTTTTAATTTATCTCTTTTGTTACAAAATCTTTACTTTCGATTGTTAAATATAATATATAAAACCTAGCTGAAGAATAAATTGATAAATTTAATTACAAATGTATTTCCTAATATTAAAAATATACATATATCATAAAACCAATACCGTTCCTATTATCAACACTAGTTTTTGAGTTTGTTAAATTTTTTTATATACTAGAAAAAGGATTTTATTTTTATCATTTTACCTTTATATTGGCCTCACGTATTGAATTGTCAAAAGTTGACAGAATAAAACGTAAGGGCTAAATTGAACTAATTAAAAAAGTTTGGGCTTATTTGAATAAAAACTTTGTTTTGAGACTTAATTGAAAAATGATGTAAAGCCTAAGGGCTTCTAGTATAATTATTCATCGACAAAAGTAGGTGGATGAGCTGGGTGTTTTGCACTGATGTCCCTTTATCTTGTTAAAACTACAAGTTCTTACCTTATTATTCAGAGTATTATAATTATCACCCTACTAATTTATTATCCTTTCAATTCTACCCCTCATTTTGAGTTTTACCACTTGGCCCCAATTTGGTGAGAATTAGTCCACAAGTAGTTAAATATTAGTTGATTCTGGATTATTAAATTATCTTTGATCCTCATCAATGTTGATCACTCAATGAATGTCTCGTGTATTTGGGAGTCGCTTCGTTATAAAGATAAAATAATAAGAATTCAAATCTCACTTTATTTGAGGTGAGTAATCATAAATGATCGAAGTAAAAAATAATCTTATAAAAGAGAAACATATAATACTTACTCACATAAGTCTACTTTAAATTATTCAATGTTTTTAGAATGTCAATTACCTTTGACACTCATTTGATTTGATTGAGTTTTTAAAATAAAAATATATAAATTAGTTTGGTAAAAATAATTTAAAAAAAGAATTAAAATTATTTGTACGCCAAAAAGATATAATTATATAAAAATATTAGTTTCTTTTAAATACCAAAATAGTTAGTGATATTTTTTTCAAAAAATGAAAATCAACCCAATGGAATTTCTAAAATAGGGATCATCGGGGGTAGAGGGAGGGGTCAAAGAGTTGCAGCCAATGAAATTATTTTAGAAATGTATAATATTGAAAACTCCTAAAAATCACCTTTAATTTTTTCTCAATAAATTAATAATTAACGTAAAACAGTTCACATGAATATAAATAAATTTAAATTGTGATATTTTAGTAACATTGAGCATTTTTTTAGAAACCTCATATGATGTACTGTTGCTTGTTCCCTTGAAAAAATGTTCCCCCATCCCAAGGTAAGTCAAAAACATAGCCAAGGCATATAAAAGTGTGCCATCGTTGATACTATTTTTTAATTGGATCAATAAAAACTTACATCTAAATTTGATTTTTAAAAGTTAACCAAGTTGAGGAAAAAAAATATTTGGGTCATGGTAAAGTTTAGTGCTACACATGAAAAATGCTATGTAGATTATATTAATATACCGTTTCATCTATCAATATAAACGGTTTGCATAATTAAAACATGCTCGAATTACAATCTCACAAGTTCACAACAGTTATAGGTTGATTAATATCATAATAATATTCTCGATTTCTATATAATACATAAACTTCTTTTAAGAGCATTGAATAAAAACAATAAAATGCTAGATACCAAAAAAATAGTATAATTTTGGGGTTATTTAGAATGTATTTGATTAGTATATTTTTTGATTTTTTACGAAAAAAATGTAAAATATGAATTGGGTTTGAAGTGATGTAATTGAGAGATAATGTGACCCAAATAAAATGATTGTTACTAAAATAGAATAATGTGTTAAAATAGTATATGCTATTTTAGCATATGCTGTTTTAGCACGTGCCAAATAAGCACTTTAATTTAAAGTGTAGGCCCCATTGTATAAGTGTTAAATTCAAGCAATACATGCATCAATTAGTGTATTAACTAATGTACTAATATTAGTTATGACATTATTATTGATCTCACTTATCATACAAATTATAAATACAAAAAATATCTTAAATTATGTCGCATCATCAATTAGTACACTAGTTAATACACTAATTGGTGCATATTGTTTTTCTTGACCTGAGTTCTTGGTATTATTACTTTGCTTGGTTTTAAATTTTTTTAAAAAAATTTTGAATTTTGAATTTTTTCATGTTTTGTTGTTTTTATCGATTCTTTTCATATTTTAAACTTTGGGCAAATTACAAACACCCCCTCGAGGTTTGGTGAAAATACAGATTCTCTCCTGAGGTTTGAGAAATTATAAATTGCCCCCTGAGGTTTATATTTTCATAACAAATTACCCCCTGAGATTTTTATTTTTATGCAGATTTCCCCCCTAATTTGTTATGCAAATTTGACCTTTAGGAGAAAATTTGTAATTTCTCAAACCTTAGGAGAAAATCTATATTTTCACCAAATCTCGAGAGGGGTATAAAAATATATATATATATATAACTTTTTTAATAAATATAAAAATTATAAAAATATTTTTAAAATATAAAAATTACGAAAATATTTTTAATAATATAAAAATAATTTAATAAATATAAAAAAATTCATATTTTTTATATTTACTGAATTTTTAAAAGAACTTTTCATAATCTTTGTATCCCAAGTGTATTTAAATTAAATAATTTTTTGATCAAAATAACAAACAAATTTAAAAAGTAAAAAAAATTAATGAAATTATTTATATAAAAAAAATCCCTAAAATTTTAAAAATAATAATTGAAAATTCAAAAAATATTTCTAAAAAATCTAAAACTAACAATTCAGTGAGTATTTTAAAAATTAATGATAAAATTTGTGAATATTAATAATTATACTTATAATTTTTTTCATAAATTTATAATAATTTTGCCAAACCATCGCTTGGGTGGTAATTTCTCTTCTTCTTTTTTTCACGTGCTGGTAACCGTAATTTTATAAAGGCCGACATGGCACCTTGTAATTGGTCAGTTGAGTGGTCGCTATCACATGAAAAGGCCCCCTTCCTCATTTTGTGAGCTTTTCTGTTTGGCCATATGAAGAACTTCATTTTATATGTAAAACAGAGTAAAATAAAGGGAAAAACTAATCTTTGACAAATTTGCTCACTGTTTTCACAACAAGAGGAGGCAATTGTTTTTTCTTTTATAGAAATTATTACAATTCAGTGTTTATTTCTAACAAAATTAAAAGTAACAGTTGGGATCATCGGAAAGAGATCTGTAATAAGCTTTACAAGTCCAAACATTATGGCCAAGTTTACATTTAAATATGAAAAAAACTTCCTTTAAAAAAATTAGGCTTCATTTGGCATAAGTTTTTTTTGCTATTTTATCTAAAAAAAATAAAATAGACTAAAAATTTAATAAAATAAAATGTCACATACAAATTATAATCATTTTATTTTTTCTCTCACAAAAATCAAAAAAGTCAAAAAACTCAACCCAAACGAGACTTTAGCCCCAGGCTAAAATAGTCAAAAAGCTAAAAAATCAATCTGCATCCCAAACGAAGGCTTAGATTGATCATATAACTATAGTCATATGATTGTATGGCATTTATTATAAAAATATATATAGATGACAAATATAATTTTGGAAATAAATTATTCATTAGTTTGAACACAAATGTAACTTAATTCGTCTAAGGTTGTTTGATTAATTCGATTTTTCATAAATGATCTACTCAACAAATTTATAATATTAACAACTCAGGTCATCAAAGTAGATGCTCTATTAAAGCCACAAAGACCTATGGATATCTTTGGTTGTGTAACTCCAAAGGTTGGTTGAGCGATAAAGATTTAAAAATAAAATTCAAAATCTCGAATTCAAATCACCCAATGAGTTAACAGAGATTTATCTGGTCATTAATTTTAAGATTCCATATTTAATTAAGGTGTACACAAATTGACGTTAACATTCAATTATAAAATAAAAAGTAAATGAAAAACAAGATACCTTTAGTTGTGTAGTTTATAAAAAAAATTGTCAAACAAGCATACATTACGATAATAATATCAGATTCCACTACTTCCAATCATCACAATATGCTCTTTTTTGTTGCATCTCACACACAAACAGCCAATCAAGAAAATGATTTTAAAAAGCAATGGCAAAATATGCTTTTTTTAGCCATATACTCACTTCACTTTTATATGCACACCCAATGCTAGGTTCTGTTATTAGATGATATGTTCCAAAAATGACCAGATACACGTTTGGTGCAATTTTTTAAAATTAAAGCTAATAATTACAAAATAAAAAATAAAAATATTAGTTTTCAAACAATTATTATTTTTAGTTTATTTAAATAATTTTTTTTCTTGTAAATTAATAAGCACGGACACGACACTGATACGCTAATAAGTAAATTTTTACAAAATATAAAATCCAATACGTGAAGAATATGTACAAAATATATAATTTTACATAGTTATTATATATTATATATAAAAATAAATAATAATTATTTATTATATTTAAGTCAAATATAATAATTTTAAAAAATCTAAAGAAGAAGAATATATATATAATTTACATTATTTTTTATTTTATTATTGGATTTTAAGTTACATAATTCAAACTTGTAATGTATTTTTGTAAATCAAAGTATAAAACATGCAACGGAATAAAATGTTTAGATCATATCTTTTTTGATGATAGAACCTCGTGGATAAATCACGTGCTTCCTGAATCTAGTCAATCAACCCAGCAGTGAAGTGATATTATAATATTGAATATCACCCACACAAACCACAGTGCAAATGGCTTTGATCGTTATTTTGGGAGAGAGTCAGTATCTTGGAAAAAAAAACAAACATACGTTGTTTTTCCACTTAATCACCCATATCCCATATATCAGATATATAATCTATTTATCTCATTTATCCATTGGTTAAATGAGATAATATCTGATATCTATATCATCTATCCATATCATGATATGATAGATATATATCCTGAGTGGCTATCCAAATAGGTTTGAATTCAAATTCAAAACCCATTTGGATGAGGTTCAAAAGGTTCTAAGGGTCATGCCACATGGACGCCCAATTTCTAACAATTTTGTATGTATCTAAATGTGGGGAAGTTTTCAGTGAGTATTATTTCGGTGTTAGACGCAATGTTAAACACGGCATATTATCTTCTTGAAAGTTTTCGTGCTTTTTTACTCATAAGTTATAAGCAAAGTTGCACCAAATACCATAATGGTGATTTTTAAAAATAAAAAAATATATATTGTAAGCAACTCTAAAAGTTAACCAAATAGGGCCGGTGTCCACCATGACTAGCAACGAAGCTAAGAATTTGGTTCAGAAAAACATTATTGAGTTGAAGTCTTAGTGTGATTTATTACAATTTAATTGAACCCATTTTTTGTTTAGTGATAGGATGACTAGAAATAAGCTGATTCCAAGGTTTATATGCTAGAGTTGTTTAAGTTAGTGAATTATTTTGATTGTTTTGCTAATTTTTGGTTTTTTAATTACTAGTTCGATTTCAATTTAGCTCTGAAAATAATGATCATTATAATTTAAAATATGATCATGAAGGCGATTTTATGTCAACATATACACACGCAAAAAGAGAGTAGAAAGATAAATAATATTAAATTTATCAAAAAAACAAAAATAAACATTTAAATTAATAAATTATAGATAAATTTTAAAAAAAACTAAAAAAGTAAGTTTACAAATTTAAGATACATCCTTAAAATTTTATTGATCAAATTAAAAAGTAAGTTTAAAATTAATGATAAAAGTATAATTTAAAAATAAAAATAAAAGGCGCGTATCCTTTTTAATTTTGTATGAATAATTACAATGCGCGATATGTCATGAGGATCATATAGAAATTATAATATGTTTAGGAGGCTAGAGAGAGATTACTAGTGAGGGGCCATACCCAAGTAGTCCTTCTCCATTGAGTCAAAATTCCCTACTCTAAGTAAATCTCCATCAATATATGCTTATGTGTCTCGTTAGGCCACATTAATAAAATATGGTTAGATAAAATAAAAGTTTATTGCACTTTTGAAAGACCTTTTGAGAGGTTTCAAATCATTAAAAAAAATAAAAAATAAAATAAAAGAAATGAAACTACTATTCCACTTGCATGGTTTCTTTCCCTCCTCAAAACTATCACCTTCATAGCATTGATCAAATCAATATGGGTTATTGCATACTTTTAAATTTCAACTGTAAAATTTAATTTTTTATATTTTAAATCAAATTGTAATGTTACACTTCCATTCATCTAGTGTTAATAAGATTGATGAAACTTTATATAAGCCATACGTGAAATTTTTCTTGCCTCATTGGCATACCAAAATTACTTTAGCATTTGCACTTTCACCAAAATCTTATTTCAGACTATTCATTTTTAATTTATCTCAACTTCGTTAACGGTGAATTGAAGAGTGACATTGCAATTTGACTTAATCAATAGAAGCATAACTACAATACTAAAAAAATTGCAATTTTGTTGAGATAATCAAACGCCATTGCAAAACACTTTTATTTACATACAAGTAATTATACAATTTTTTAAGAAATTACTTGGCAGCATGTTCACTTAATAGCAAGTGACTATATACTTATATCATTATTTTAATATGGATAATTATTAAAACACTGGTGATGGAATGTCTGTGTCCGTATACATATATCATTACTTAACATGGACAATTATTAAAACATTGTTGATTGGATGTACATGAGTATATACTTGTATCATTACTTAATATGGACAATTATAAAAGACTATTAATTCGTCGTACAATTTTGAACCCCGTGTAACAATATATCATTTATTAATAAACTGTACCAAATAGGCTCAATACAACTTGACTTGTGAGTAAAATGGATAATAAATTATAAGAATAGTGACTACAAAACTAACAATTTATGGTAAAACTCAACTCATCCACCTACTTTTATCTACGCATGAATAACTATATATTCTTTTCAAAATATTACGTTTGTAATATATTCAATTAATAGCAAGTGATTATATATTTATATTGTTACTTAATATGAACAATTATAAAACATCGTTGATCGGACACATGATTATGTACTTATTTTATTACTTAATGTGGATAATTATGAAATATCGTTGATCGGAGACGCATGCCGACATACTCATATCATTAATATGGATAATTATGAAACAGAGTCGATTAGATGCATGTAACTATATACATATATCATTATTTAATATGGATAATTATGAAATACTATTGATCAAACGTGCATAAATATATACATATATCATTACTTATATGGATGATTATTAAAAAAAACTATTGATCAAACGAACATGGCTATATACATGTATCGTACTTACTGTAAACACTCGTCCAGTTACTTTTATCTATATATGAGTAATTTTGATGAGATAATTAAACGTCATTGCAAAACACTCGTCTAGTTACTTTCATCTACATATGAGTAATTATACAAATTTTTAAGAAATTACCTTGCAACATATTCACTTGATACTAATTGGCTATATACTTATATTATTATTTAATATGGACAATTATTAAAACACTATTGATTGAATATATGTGACTATATATTTATATCATTACTTAATATGGACAATTATTAAAACACTATTAATGGGATGTATGGGATTTGGGGTGGCTGCTGTGCGGGGGTGTGCAGTAGCCACTGTTGTGCATCCCGCACAACAGCTATTGTTGTGCAGTTAAATGGGCCCATGTCGGGGCCCATTTCAATAATCTGAATCGTTCACATTTTAAAGTACATCAAGTACAACATACTTGCCAAAAACAAGTTAATTGGATATCGTTTACTCTTTCATTCACTTACATTTGTATTTATTTTAATACTTTAAATCACAATTGTTATTTATTTTTTTAGATACACATGTGAGTGGATAAAAAAGTAAACGATATTTGATTAACTTGTTTTTTCGCAAGTATATTGTACTTGATGTATTTTAAAATATGAACGGTTCGGGTTATCGAAATAGGTCTCGAAATGAGCCCATTTGACTACACAACAATGGTTGTTGTGCATCTTCGCACAGCAGCCACCCCAAATCCATATGTATGTGTCCTGTATACTTATATCATTACTTAACATGAACAATTATTAAAACATTATTGATTAGATGTACACGACTGCATATTTATATCACTACTTAATATGAACAATTATAAAATTGTTGATTTGACACACAATTTTGAACCTTGTGTGATAATTTATATCACTCATCAATTATACCAAATAAGCCCATTATAACTTGACTTGTGAGTAGCTTTGTTTGGCAATCTTCAGTTTTAATCAAAAAGTTAAAATGTCACTATAAGTTATCACATGACTCTTTCTATTTTTCTGTACATATTTTCATAAAAAGTCAAAAGATTACTAAAATAGTTTGTTCATAAATTATAAGATTGATGACTACAAAACTAAGAATTTAGGATAACACTCAACTAATCCACTTACTTTTATTTACATAAGAATAATTATACATTATTTTCAGAGTATTACGTTGGTAACATATTCACTTTCGCTATATTTTGTTGGAGAATTTGAAAAGAGATTTGGAAAAGGGAAGAAAAAAGTGTGTGAAATTAGATAAAATATAAGTATATTTTATTCACATTTCACATTTCTTTTTTATTTCTCTTTCCAAATTCTCAAATCAAACACAACGTTAATTGCAAGTGATTATATATTTATGTCATTACTTAATATAAACAATTATACTTATATCATTATTTAATATGAACAATTATGAAACATTGTCCATTAGATACACATAACTATATTTATATATCATTATTTAACATGAATAATTATGAGATACCGTTGATCAAACACGCATAATTATATATTGATAATTATGAAATACTGATGATCAAACAAATGTGACTATATATAAATGCCGTACTTACTATAAATACCGTTGATCAAACATATGTGACTATATAACTGTATTAATATTATTGTTATTTAAGGGTGTTTTGAAAGAATGATTAAAAATTAATTTTTAACGTTTTAAAAAATTTTATGAGAGAAGAAAGTGAATTAAATGTCGAGAAATAACTTTTAATTCATCTTCTATGAAGTATCGTTGATCAGACGCAAAATCTTGGACTCAGGTAATAATTATTATCGGTTGAGAACAGGCCAAAACGCGGGGGCAAAAGGGTAAATAAGTCTAATTTTACTGTCAATTTTAAAGTTTTTCCCAAACCCAGAATAAAACCCCACTCACATGTTCCACTCCCTCTGTTCACTCACTCCTCACCCCTGCCCTATTTCCTCTATTTTTCTCTCCTCTGTTAAACGTATCGAAAGCAGAGGAAAAGAAAAGAAAAGAAAAGAAAAACCAAAAAGAAAATGAGGGAATAGAATCTCAACAGCTCCTTCTTCCCCTCTCTATCTGAGACTTGTAGATCTCTGATACACACACATACACACACATATATATATGTATTTGTATATGTAGATGCAATTGTAATTGATTTAATGGCTTCAATAGCAGTTACAGCAGAGCAACCGACTACAACAGAGGTGTTTCCATGGCTCAAATCCCTACCTCTGGCTCCCGAGTACCACCCAACCCTAGTAGAGTTCCAAGATCCAATTGCTTACATTTTCAAGATCGAGAAAGAGGCCTCCCAGTATGGAATCTGCAAAATTGTTCCTCCCGTCTCGGCTCCACCGAAGAAGACCGTAATTGTGAACCTCAATCGGTCTCTGGCTGCGAGGTCCACCATTCCGAGCCCTAATTCGGCTCCCACATTCACCACTAGGCAGCAGCAGATCGGGTTCTGCCCTCGGAAGCATCGGCCGGTTCAAAAACCCGTGTGGCAGAGCGGCGAGAACTATACTCTGCCTCAGTTCGAGGTCAAAGCGAAGGCTTTCGAGAAGGGTTACCTGAAGAAGACCCCGAAGAAGGGGTTGTCGGGGTTAGAAGTTGAAACCCTTTACTGGAAAGCCAGTGGGGATAAACCCTTTCAGGTTGAGTATGCTAATGATATGCCGGGTTCAGCATTCGTGCCGGTGAGTGTGAGGAATGGGAAGGAAACAGGGGAGGGAGTGAATGTTGGTGAGACTGCTTGGAACATGAGAGGGGTGTCTAGGGCTAAAGGGTCTTTGTTGAGGTTCATGAAGGAGGAAATTCCGGGCGTCACATCGCCAATGGTGTATGTAGCTATGATGTTTAGCTGGTTTGCTTGGCATGTGGAGGATCATGACTTGCATAGCTTGAATTACTTGCATACGGGGGCGGGGAAGACGTGGTACGGTGTGCCAAGGGAAGCCGCGGTTGCATTTGAGGAGGTGATCAGGGTTCATGGGTATGGAGGAGAGATCAATCCTCTTGGTGAGTTCAGTACTGCATTGAACCAGAGATCAAAATTTAGCTTCCCCTGTTTACTGTTCTCCTATGCTCTGTCTTTCATCTTGCAAATGTCCTTGCATGTCACTGTTTATTAGCTGTAGTTAATCTTATCGTAAGTACTACTTCCATCACATATCCGCACTTTACTCTAGTGGACACCATAAAGATCAGCAAGGTGAGAAATTGGCAGGAGTTGACCTTTTCATTTAGATAGGTAGAATGTTAGAAAACTAAAACTTGCATGGAGTGAGGATGGATTAAAAATTAAGGATGGCTTGGTTTTAGGAATTGATTAAATTTCTGAGGGAAAAGGTGCAAGTTATATGTACATAACCAAATCAAACTAATCCTTAAGTCCCATCAAATGGGATCGGTTGCATGAATTATTCTTCTTCACTCGATTTTATCTAAGGACATTTCGTTAGTCAAATTAAGGAGATTCATATCTCTATTTACTACATTAGTCAACGTCAATCTAGGTTTATCCGTTTCTCTAATACTATCACCTACCGTCACTGTATTGCATCTCTTCACTACTGTCTCTGTTGACCTCTATTGTATTAAGTCATCTCAATCTATTCTCTCTCAACTTATCTTTTATCGGTACTATTCCTACCCATTTTCGAATATACTTATTCCTAACTCTGTATTTTCTAGTCTTGTCGTCCATTTCAGTATCCTCATCTCAGTAACACTCATCTTATCTATATGTTATTTCTTAGTTACCTAACATATCTTCCCATCTAATATCGCTAGTCTAATAACCGTTCTTTAGAACTTCCTTTTTAGTCTAATGGGTATTTGTTTTTCGCATAGTACTCCAGACGTACTCCTCCACTTAAGCCACCCTGCCTCAATTCTGTGGACCGCATCCGCTCCAATCTCCTCAGCATTGTGATAATCGATCCTAAATAACAAAAATGTTCACTCTTAGGTAGTTATTGGTTTTCAATCCTTACTTCTCCTCTGTTTCTATTGTGACTGTTACTAAAATTACACTTCATATATTCTGTCTTAGTTCTGCTTATCCTAAATCCTTTAGATTTAAGTGTTTTTCTCCAAATTTTTCAACTTAATGTTAACTCCGTTTCTAGTCTCATCTACTAACATGATATCATCTGTAAAAAGTATACATAACTAAAGCGAAAAGATAAGGATTTAAGATTGATCCTTGGTGTAACCCTATAATAATTAGAAATTCACTCGTCTCTCCAACAGGCGATCTAATAGTGGTCATCACACCTTCATACATTTCCCTGATCACACCAATATAACTTTTTGTCAGTCCTTTCTTCTCTAACACCCACCAGATTATTACGTGGCTTTGTTTTCTTGAAAGGGCTTATTTGGAATTAGATAAATAAGATGTTGAGATATACTAGCAAGTAGGTGTTGCAGTACACCTCTTCAACATTGAAAAAGGTTTATTAGGAGCTTTGTGGTTTCTCTGTACAAGCAAGATGTGTTAGATTACATTTTCAGAGTTCACTTAGAGTTCTTACATACTGTTCCCACGTTTATTTTTTGCTGATAATTTTAAGCATGAGAGTATGACATAGGAAGGTTGATATGGACACAATTTTTTTTTTTTGTGTAGACCCTTTGATATTGAACTACTACTAGATGTCTTTTAGGGCTGTAACATCTTGGTGGTTCAAAGAGTACCTTTTTTCATTTCATGTTAATGACGCCTCAATTAGTAATGTTTACTAACTACCCATTGGGCATGTTCCAAATGAGCTATTCACTTATTTTGGTTGTTTCAGAGTTTCGGAAGGTCTTCTTTGGGTTAACAGAAAATGCAACTCAGTTTAGAATTTTGTACAAAATTGAATTTAGTCTCTTAAAAGTTATTCTACTAAAAATTTTTGTGATTCATTTCTTTCAGTGACTTTTGCTATTCTTGGCGAGAAGACTACTGTAATGTCTCCAGAAGTACTTATTAGTGCTGGTGTTCCATGCTGCAGGTGACTTTTTGGTCACTCTGATTTCCTACTGTTGTACGTTTGGTATTGACTTTGAAAACTAACTTCGATTGCATCTGAAAGAAGAATGCCTTGTGATGGCCTCTACAATTAGCTTGAAAATCACTTTTCAACGTGCCTTTTATGAAGCTATTAGTAGCTGTTTTGATCAAAGGAGTTAGAGGGAATGGGATAAAAGATAAGGAACATGTTATGCTGCATGCCGAAGAACTATACTTAGCTGGACCTGCCTTGCATCCACAAGAAAATAACATTTATTATCACATCTAGAAATCATTTTACTAATCTGGTTATCGTTTTAAGTTGTTCTTTGTTAAAGTTCATTGCAGCATGCTTCATGGTCTAGTGGTGATGTGAATACATCCGTGCTCTTCTTACGTTGCTGTTTCTTCTGATCAGGTTGGTGCAAAATGCTGGAGAATTTGTTGTCACTTTCCCTAGGGCCTATCACTCAGGTTTTAGTCATGGTAAGACATCTTTCAATATGCCTTTTCTTTTCTTATTCCTCTACTTTGTGTTTTAACGTTGGAGTTATTGTTATAACTAATATAATATTGATGTTATATGAAAAAATTTAAAGAATGATGAATTGTACCGCCTATTTGGTTTTTCCATGCAGGATTTAATATTGGAGAGGCGGCTAATATTGCAACTCCTGAATGGTTGAGGGTTGCCAAAGATGCTGCTATTCGTAGAGCTTCTATCAATTGTCCTCCCATGGTGTCTCACTTCCAGTTGCTTTATGATCTTGCACTGTCGTTATGTTCAGGGTTCTCTCTCTGTCTCTCTCTCTCTCTCAAATGTCCTCTGAGCTATATTTCTGGAAGTATCATTCCTTCCAAATTTGTCACTTATTCTTTCTACAATCACTATGACTTGTCCAACTGTTCTAGTTCATATTTCAAAATAGGTGGTGAAGAGTTTCTTCTAAAGCAGATATCCTTAGTTGTTGTATCTAAAGAACAATATTGTTCCAGCCATCCCTTCTCCAATAAATAAATAAATAAAAAGAAAGGAAAAAAATTTAGATTATGTAAATCCATTACCTGCATCATTCAAAATTTTCTACTAGTGTTAGCTATGTTTTTCGTTCTTATCAAAAACCTGCAGTATTTGTAGTGCTTTCTTTTGGGGTGCTTATTTCTCTTAATATTGCTATACATCACACATGCATTATGAAAAATAAAAATCACAAGAGAACAACTGTGTCATATTTCAACATTTATGTCCCAGTTGTGCAAGAAGCTTGTATCACATGCGAATTTTTCATGATTTTGTTTTCTGTCTGATTAGTGTGAAATAATATATTAAGTTGTGATCTTAACCAATTAGACTTCCAAATTTGATTCTTTTTTGACTTTTTTATGTTCTTTTCCCTATAGGATACCTAAGAGCATCAGTACTAAACCGCGGAGTTCAAGATTAAAGGATAAAAAGAAGGGTGAAGGCGAAACCCTAATCAAAGAGCTATTTGTGGAGGATGTGATGAGGAATAATGACCTGCTTCACATTCTCGGGGAAGGATCTTCCATTGTGCTTCTTCCCCAGAATTCGTTAGATGATTCCGTTTGTTCAAATTTACGGGCTGCATCCCGATTAAAAGGAAATCATAGATTGCCTCTTGGTTTATGCAATCCTGAAGAAGAAATGAAGGCCTCGGAAAGTTTAGTTTCCGAAAATATCATGATAGACAGGAAGCGTGGGTTAAAGCAATTTGCAAGTTTCTATCCTGTGAAGGGAAAATTTTCTCCTATGTTTGATGGGAGCAGGCTCTCCTTGTTAGGTGGTAGTGATGATGCATGCACCTTGGCTTCTCAGACCCACAAAGCAGACGCTGGAAGAGAAAGAACAGCTCAAGGTGATAGGTTGTCAGATCAAGGATTGTTTTCATGTGTCACTTGTGGGATTTTGAGCTTTGCTTGTGTTGCCATTGTTCAACCTAGAGAAGAAGCTGCACATCATCTCATGTCAGCTCAAGGTGATGGTTTAACTGTTGCCACTGCTGCTGCAATTTTGCCTGAGCTGAATTCCCAATCTGGTAGGTTTTTTCTTTAAGACTTTTTCTCATCTGTTGTGATTTGCAACTGAACATGCACGTCTTTGATTATGATATGAACTTACTTTTCATTCATCTAAATGCAGGATGGATGCGAAAGAGCACTCCGGATGGTTTGTTTGATGTCCCAGTTCAATCTGCTGATAGAATTCAAACAGTACATCAAACTACAGAAGTGGTTTCCAACACTGAAACACAAAAAACCACTTCCGCCCTTGGTCTATTGGCTTTGAATTATGGTAATTCTTCTGACTCTGAGGAAGAAGAGGAGGTTGAAGCACGTATTCCTGTTTATGACAGCGAAACCAAATCGAGGGATTTTCCCCCAGAAAGTGGATTCCAATGTGATAATATGGGATTATCTTCTCCCAAGCATCATAGTGAGGCAACTGGTTGCGGACTTGGTTTTGTTGATGATGTTCCTCAACAAGTCATTGATTGTTATGTGGATGATGGACCTCCAAAATCTAATTTTAGGGGTAAATATCAAACTTTCGACTGTTCTGTTGAGTTTGAAACTGAAAATATTGCTTCCATGGAGTCAAATAGCGTAGGGAGTTGGTCTAGGCATCAAATGAAGCTATCGCCTTCTGTCTCCAATGGTTCTCCAGTTGCCCATAGGTGTGTCACAGGTATTAGCAATGTGGTTTCCCCATTTGAGAACACCACCATGTCATTTGCTCTGAGGTCTGATGAGGATTCTTCTAGATTGCACGTCTTCTGTCTTCAGCATGCTGCAGAAGTAGAACAGCGACTTCGTCCAATCGGCGGAGCTCATATATTACTCCTTTGTCATCCAGGTGCGTTGTAACGTAGTTTGACAGAATAATTCTTGACAAATAAATGATATTTTTCTGCTTTAATTGTTCTTATCTTTCTCCGGAAGACTAAAACATGGTTTAGTGGAGAAAAGCATAGGAGATAACTTATGGATTGTTGAAAAGTATGAGTTATTTGCAGCAGTGAAAATTCAATTTCGATTACATAGCATAAGTGATATGTTCTGTGTTGGTTTGTTAATGGGGTGGTCTCAGTAGGCAAGGACATGCTTGTGTTCTTGTAACGAATCATATATTGTAATGGAGATTTGTTTTTATGCGCTGTCTATGGTATTTTAAGCACACCTGTGGGGTTAAGAGACTCAAGAATCATGCCCCTTGTATATAATAAGATTCATTTCACATTTCATTTCCTGTGTGCTTGTATACATTAGTGTCACTACGAAGACAAAATTATTTAGTACCATCAGAAAAAGGTTTGCTGCTTTTTAGGTTGTGTTCGGGTCAATGATTTGAGAGGGGATTTGTGGAGGGAAAGGAAAAGGGAAGGGAAGGGAAGGGAAGGGAAAAGTTAAAAAAAAAAGAAGCTTAAATCATTATGCTATGTTCGGATCAATGATTTGAGAAATTGAGAGGGGGGTTTGTGGAGGGAAGGGAAAAGGAAAGAAAAAAGGAAGGGAAAAGTTAATGAAATATAAGCAATTTTTTTTAAAGAAACTTCTCCCTTCCCTTTTCTTTTCCTCCGCAAATACCTACTCAAATCATTTCCTTAATCCCTTTCCTAACAGAAATCCTACCCTCTTTTTTTAATTATTTATTTTATCCACTTCTTCGATTGATTGTATAGTATCTCAAATCACACAATAACTTCTTCTCCCTCTTCTATTGAAGAATCAAATGCTTATTTTCAGGGTTCCAATAGAATTCATAGGTATAGGAATAAGCTCCTATCAAATAGAGATTTTTTCTTTCGACCATGTTTTAATTGTTAATACAATATATAAGGACCACTACTACAAAGAGTATTACACCCTTGAATGTGAAATATCTATTACTTGTTGAACCCTGTGAATTGCGTGAAAACTAGGATACTCCAAATTCGGGAGTCAAAGAGTTTCATAAAATGTTTTTGGTAGAAAAAAACATGAATGAATGATCCCACTAAATTAAATTGGGCCCATGAATCTAAGAAATAGTGAGAATTCTTGATCTCTCTCAATTGGAAAATCCAAGATTTGAATTGAACTTCTCATTGATTCCTCCTAAATTGCATTTATTTATCCTAAAGATCTTGTATTTGCTCTTTTATAGATATATAAATAGTAAAAAAGAAAATACTCCCTCCGTCCCAAAATATTAGTCCCTTTTCAAAAATCAAGTACAAAAATAATATAAATTTCTTATTTTGCCCTTCTTTTAAATTCATTAACAACATAAAAAGTACAATTATGACACTGATATTCCCCAAAAAATATATTATCAAAGGGTAATTTTGGAAAATCAATTTTTTCAAAGTGCAATGATTGTACTACCAAAAAAAGTTAGGTTTCTCAAAAGGGACCATTATTTTGGGACGGATGGAGTAATTTTTATTATTCTAAGTACGTTGATGAGGAAAAAATCGGAATTCCTACCCCATAACTAGAAATAAAAATAAACTAACAAGAAAGGTAAACCCTTGTATCTTGTGTTTATTCTTTTTTACAAAGAAAAATATTTTGTTTAGAAATAAATAAAAAGAAAAATTCTTATTCTACAAATCATAAGAGTGAAAAGAATTTCAAATCATATTGATTAATCCAAAACAATAGGTAATAGAAATCATTCATTTTATATTATAAATACAATTAGTCAACTTTTTTAATCAAGTTGATTGAGATTATTACAGCTTTAGATTACTTATGTGTTTGTCGCACAAAAAAAAAGCTTTGAATTTCCGGTTGAAAGATATTTCCATAACAAAAAAGCTTTTCATGTTGCCCAATATCCTTTCATTTTCCAAATATTTTTACGAATATGCTTTTATCAAATTGAAAAATCAAGAGGTTGGGTGCTTAGTTACACGAAGCGGGGAAGGGGGGCTGTTCTTAGGTTGGGAGTGCCTATGGGAGTATGTATATATTTATTTATTAAATATATAAAGATATTCTAACAATTATTTTTGATTTTTGGTTGTAATATATGTATTAAAATATGAATAAATATTAGAGATTTATGTCAACTACAAATTGTCTTTATTAAGTATAAATAAATATTATATAAATAGAAACTACTAGAGCAAGTGACTTGTTTTTATTTTGTTTCTATAAGATTTATATGTTTAAGAGGTTTCTATCTCAGTTGAGAGCGAGTTTCTTACAAATTTCTTGGGTGTGCGGAATCGCGTTTCTTAGTAAGAAATGCCACTCGAGTAGAAGGTCCTTGCTACTAAGGTTGGGTGTTTGGAATTGTCTTTTTTAGTGGTTGTTTTGGTTGGTTTATTTTTTTGGTCTTTAGTGAATTTTGTTTAAAAAATTTCAAAAAAACTTATATTTCTGGGTTCTACTTGACTAGATGGACTAGAAAAGTAAAAAAATAAAAAATAGGAAATTTTTTTTTTATAAAGGACACAAAAAGGCCAAAAATAGTTGTTGTTGTTTTATTTTTCTTTAGTGAACTTTTTTTTTATTTAAATATATATGTATATTTTACTTTTTAGATTCATTTACACAAGACGAACCTTAAAAGTAAAAAAAAAAATTGACATAATTTTGAAAAAAACTACTAAGACAAAAAAGCTAGAAAAAAATGTGCCTTTTTTAGCTGTATGCCAAACTTACCTAGTTGGATGTGAAATTTCACGAAGTATAACAACAGACTGAGAAACTTGGCTAGAAGGAATTGGTAGAGAAATTGTGTTATATATATGGTAATCCTTATATCCGAATTGGATCCGTAACTTCTTATTTGTGAAAAAAATAAAATAAAAAGGTAGAGAAATTGTGTTATATATATGGTAATCCTTATATCCGAATTGGATCCGTAACTTCTTATTTGAGAAATTGTGTTATATATATGGTAATCCTCCTCCATTAGTTATAATACTTCAAGGAGGTTTTACATGGAATGAAAGAGCAAAAATGGATTCATGAAGGTTTAATTATTGGATCGCTCCCCAATGACATGTTCCAGGTTTGTTTAGATAATGGTGGTCTTATTCTAGTTATGTTTTAGGAAAAATCAGACATAGTTTTGTACTAGATACTTGCCAATAGAGTCAAAATTGAAGTAAGTCGTTATGATTCAACTAGAGGGCGTATAATTTATTGATTCAGCAAACAAGGATTCGAAGGATTAGGAGTTTTTCAAGTTTAACATTCTTTTCCATGGGAATGCGATTTGAGATTCAAAATTTCAAGAAACTTACTTTCTTCCAAGAAATAGATTCAAAATTAAGGTAAGGAATGAAAAATATGAAAGTAAGAGCTTATGTTCATTTACATAATATCTTGAATGAAAAAAGTTATTACATGATTACTCGAAATTTTATTTTGATCCAAAACTAGATTCCAATTCCTATTATTTTTTCCTTTATACGTTCTCTATTTTATCTTTCCATGTTATATCCAAACACAGGTTAATGATAGATAATACAGTCATTCAGGGAATAGTGTCTGGCTCTACGTGCCTTCCATTTTGTACCTTATATTTTCCTTTTAGTTGCTGAAGAAAGTTATGTTAAATAAATACAACTAATGAAGGAATATAATTGCCATTTCTTGATGATAAGTCTCCTGCATCTATATAGAAATTCCTACCAATAGATTTGCGGTGTTCTATTAAGATTTTTTTTCTTCCCTCCATTAACTTGTATTGTTTGATGAAAATATGCAGACTATCCTGAGCTAGAGACTGAAGCAAAATTAGTGGCAGAAGAACTGGGAATTGATTATTTCTGGAATGATATTGCAATCAGGGATGCCACTAAAGAAGATGAAGAGAGGATACAATTAGCTCTAGAAAGTGAAGAAGCGGTACATGGGAATGGAGACTGGGCTGTTAAGTTGGGCATCAATCTCTACTACAGTGTCAACCTAAGCCGCTCTCCTCTCTACAGCAAGCAGATTCCATACAACAGTATTATATATAAAGCGTTTGGACGCCTAACAAAACCGAAGGTTCATGGGAAGGGTTTCAGCAAACAGAAAAAAATAGTTGTGGCGGGAAAATGGTGTGGGAAAGTCTGGATGTCAAATCAGGTTCATCCTTTGTTAGCAGAAAAAGATACTGAGGAAGAGGAAGAGGAAGAGGAAGAAGAGAGAAGTCTTCATGCTCGAGCAAAACCTGATGTGAAACATGAGAGATTGTCAGGAAGCACCCACACTGCTGAAACTACTTCTGCAACTAGGAAGACTGGAAAGAAGAGGAAGAATAAAACAGGTTGTGGGGCAATCAGGAAAGCTAAATTCCCGAAAATAGAGGCTTCGGGTATAGCTTCAGATGGTTCACCCGAGGACGGTTATCAGAAGCGAACGAGAAATCTTAGAAACAAACAAGTGAAAACAGAGACCCCTCATCCTCAGAAAAGTTCTGATTGCAACACAAAGTTCGACTTGTGTGTTGAGGACGAGTTGGATGGCGGACCTAGCACACGGCTGAGGAAAAGAACCCTGAAGCCTGCAAAAGAGTTGGTAGAGAAACCAATTGAATCCAAGCCGGTATTAAAGAAGCTGACAAGTAGTAGGAAAGCAAAGAATCCTCCTGCTGTGAAGGCTACAACTGCTCACAGCAACATGAAGGTAAGAGACGAGGAAGGAGAATACCAGTGTGACGTGGAGGGTTGCACGATGAGTTTTGGGTCGAGACAAGAGCTTGCGCTGCACAAACGAAATGTATGTCCAGTGAAGGGGTGTGGAAAGAAGTTCTTCTCTCACAAGTATTTGGTGCAGCACCGGCGTGTTCATATGGACGACCGCCCACTAAAGTGCCCTTGGAAAGGGTGCAAGATGACATTCAAATGGGCATGGGCTCGGACCGAACACATTAGGGTTCACACGGGTGAGCGTCCTTATGTTTGCTCCGAGTCAGGCTGTGGCCAGACGTTCCGATTTGTTTCAGATTTCAGTCGTCACAAGCGGAAGACGGGTCACTTGGGAAAGAAGGGCAGGGGGTAAGATTGAAAAAGAAGGAATGTAATTTAACAAGGCTGATGAAACTGTTGTTCAATTCACAGAAGTAGGTGTAGGATTAGGGTTAGAATTTCCCTGTATTTTTTTTGTTTTTTGTTTTTTTCACATTACAGTTTCATTCTGCCTTTGGCCTGGGGGTCTTGATTGGGTCCTCTATTTATTTTGTTCCATCAGAGCAATTGCTTGTATCTCAAAAAGGGATTGTGTCAAATTTGATGCAAATTGTTCAAGCAAAATTTGGACTTAAAATTGGAGTAGACTATGATTTCCCTTTTTTACATTGCTTTTTGGATTAGTGGATGAAAATGGGGACAGAGAGAGTTTTGTTTACTGTTTTTGGAAAGGGACTCCCAACTGGTCAAACTCAATTCAGTTTTTGAGTCTTTGATATAATTTGATTTTGGCAGTTGTTAGTAGGGGTGGGCGTCTATCGTGTAAACCTGACTTGTTGATTATTTTGTGTCATCGTATTGTGTCATTTTTAATTTATATTTGATTGATGTTGTGTTAATGTATTATGTCAAAAAAATTCACTATTAATTAAAAATATCAAGATTCAAATGTATGAAAAAAAATTAAAAATTTCTTCGTAAATTAAATTTAATGAAACTAATCTCTATTAAATGAAATTATTTAAAAAATATTTTATTTCAACTTAATTTATAAAAATGATTTTTATTATATTTTCTACTGGACTAACTAAAATAATAGATAAAAAATATATTAAGTTCAATTAAAAGCAAAAACAAAATCTATATTAAACTTAAAATTATATTTTACATATTTTTTAATAAATTGAATGTAATTATGAAAGAGATTAAAAAAATATCATGATATTCTTTAGTGAAAATAATATTAAAATGTATAATTAATTCTTTATTAAATGAGTTATTTATGTCAATTTTGTGTTATACGGATTTAACATTAACTCGGTCTGTTTAATATTCGTGTTATCAAGTCACGTCATATATATATTTGTGTTAAAAAATAAACTTTAACCTACTAATTTTATTTATAATTCAAATTGTGTTATCACGTCGTCGTGTTGTAAATTTTCACCTATAGTTGTTATAACATGCCGATGGAGTTGTTTAAGTTAGCCTACTGAAGTCTAAAACTCTCTTGATACTTGTAACTTTAATTTTTATTTATATTTTTTTTATGTTTCAGAAAACTTGTCACAATCTTTGGTCTACAATATGTCCAGCTGAAACTCTCTGACCCAACAAAGGGTCATGAAAATTAGATTCCCTGACAGACTCTCCGACGATCAAGTTAAAATGAAATATGTTGTTTGTGTAGAGAAAGAAAGAGGGAACAAAGAAGAACTGACCTCTAGTGCGTCTTGGAAACTTCCTTATATCATTTGCTCATCATTTCCTTGTTCACTCCAAACTGTCATGTTGGCTGAAAGTCTATATTCTAGCTTGCATCGTTTATGGTGAGTCTGTGTATTCCAACATGAAAGGGTTGTCGTATTTAATATTGTGAGAGCCTCATTAATGGCAGATATATGGATGCAATAATTTTGTAGGATCTTTGTCTGCTTATGTGACTAGACCTCTACTTGACAGGTGTTTTAATACTATTGGTCCTGGTCCATCATTGATTTCTCAAGATTACTGGGCCTTGATATCTGGTCTGCGGGCTGAGTCCTGAATCGTAGGCCGAACCCTTTTGTGCGCCCACCGATATCATATTTCAATATATATATATATATAAACAACCCTATGAACTAGACAAAACTAGGCAAACGTACCATTAGAGATGTTTGATACAACATAAGACTACAATTTACCGAATATAAATCTCCAAACTTACATTACATGATACAATAGTTCTTCATGCAACAATACATTAATCCAACAACAAGTAAATAAACAAATAAATACTCCCAAGGGTTTACAAGTTTCCAAGGCTTGAGCCTGATTATACAAAACGGTTAGTCAAACCCACACACATACAACCCTTGGCCTACACACAGAATCATAGCAAAATGAGAGTCTCGTACTTTCAACACACATTTCTTTGCCTTTAGTTAGGCGGCATCACCATATTTTTTCATGCACAAAAATCCTGTAGGGTGAGCATAAAACCCAGTAAGAAATCCTTAATAAAATATATACATTTTATATAAGTATCAAGAGATGAAATGCACATTCCATGCTATGCCCTTTTTGGAAATAAATCACATTTTCATCTTTTGAAAACCATCATGCTCAATGATGTCATGCAATTTCAATTGTTCAAAACTTAACAATTTATTTCAGGGGTGGTAAATATGACTCTGGTAATCCCTAAGTCGGTGTCTGTAAGTAGACTATACAAGTACTACCAAATTGTCATTTTTACCGGTATTAACCGAAAAGCTCGACACCTATCCGCGCGGGTTTTCGGTCTTTCACTCCGGACTCTCAAGCCAACTTATTCAATATTATCTACACCACCTATCAAGACTTACCAACGTATTTACCTCAAAACCATTTCATGAAAACTTGTTTCTCAACATTCTTTTCTCAATGCAAGTTTTCAAATCAACTTTCAAAGTTTAATGTAATTAAATGAATTGTTATGCCAATAACACAAGATGAATATAAATACTTTTATTCCAATTTATAATCCAAGGAATAACACAATTCCCTCTTCTTAAGTATTCTTAACAATTAGTCATTTCAAGACTATTTTAACGTTTTGAACAATAATTTTTAAAATGAACAACAATTCTCATATTCCCTGAAATTCATCATTTATATAAATATAAATAAGAAAATTTTCAAATACACACAAATAAATACAACAATAATATTCATGGATTTTCAGTCTATTTTAAAAAAATTCCCAAATTCTAGGTTTTCTCACTAAAACTATACAACTCAAATCCTTTGAAAGAAAACTTTCCAAAATCATATTTTCTTCAATCAACGAAGATCAAAACCCATAAGATCATTTTAAAAGAATGAGAGACAAACCCACTTTCAAAATCGCTCAACTTCTTGAATCAACAATCAATTTTCAAAGCTATCGAAAGATGATTTCGAAAATCATATAGATCTTGCAAATATATATATATATATATATAACTCTAAGAAAATCCCTACCTCAAGTTTTGAAGAAGAAATGAGATGAAACCCCCAAAATCAACGGTATCGAAACTTGATCTTCACCGCACACAACGAAGCCCTTGAGAAGTTAACCAACTTTGATGAAGAACTTATGGCAGAACTCTAATGGATCTTGAGAAATCAAGGTTTTAATCTAACTTGGCGTAGGGAAATGTAAAGAAAAGAGAGAGGAAAGGGTTTTTAGATAGAGATATACAAAAGTGATCTAAAATATCAGATTCACGAACTGATATAACATAGTTCGCTCGAGCGTGGAAAGCCCCGCTCGAGCGTGGAAAGCCCCGCTCGAGCGTCAAATACACTTTCCTAGTACTTTTGCAGACAGGTGAAACTTCTGAAACCAAACATTCTCCGCTCGAGCGGACAAGCAACTTCTAATGCATTTTGCATTTTTGCTTCAGGGGCGCTACCCCTCAACCCTGCCAGGGTGCTGCCCTAGGACCCGCCAAGGGGCGCTGCCCCATGGACCCTCGCGAGCTGATCAGGCAGCTCGATCCCCCCCAAGGCGTTGCCCTTGGACCCGCCAAGGGACGCTGCCCTCTGGACCCCCGCGAGCTAACCGAGCAGCTCAATCCCCGACATACTCAGCGAAGTGGCAAAACTGGGATCGCTACACGTTCTGTGGGCTTCAAGACCAGCAAAACCGTTGGAAGTGTGGATCGGCTTAGCCCATATTCCGTAGAAATCACAACATCATCAGTTGGCGTTGTCTGTGGGAAAACCATTTCGGAAAGACAGTTGTGTTCATTGTCACCGGAAGGTACCTTGTAATCACCTACCCCTTGTATCAGGGTGGATGGTCACAACTAAATCCATGGCTTCCAAGCATAACGCTGGTAACCCCGAAGCTGAGCCCTCCAACCCAAATAACTCGCCTTCAATATTTCGCAGAACTTACCAACAGTATCAACCGACTGACTAAGCAGAACTAGACCCTGATCAACACCTTACTCCAGCGTGACCTGCCTATCTCGTCTCTACCACAACCAATATTTCCCCTGCACCAGGAACAAGCCCACCATCACCATCAAATCCCACCATACATCCCTTAAGAAATATTTCCACCCTTCGCCCCACGGCCTTAACCGTCGAATCTTGACGGTCTATACCCTCCCTCATCAGGCTCACAGCCTCGTCCAAATATGCCACTACCTTTCCATAACCACTCCTTACTACACCATGTAGTCACCCATGAAGGTGAGACCAGCAGTGTTCAGCCCCTAATCTCTGTTTGTGGGGATAATGCTCCCGTTTGGGATGAAGAATTGCGGGCCATGAAACTCCAACTACAAGGGGTCATGCAGAACATATAGCACAAGACTTCCTTCACCGTCAACTCTCCATTTGCCGCGTCCATTCGGGATAAAGCTCTCCCTCCCAAGTTCAAAATGCCATCGATCGACATCTTCAATGGTACCACCGATCCTGTCGACCAGGTAGAAGCATATTAGATAATGATCTTACATGCCTTTCCAGATGAAATCATATGTCGTGCTTTCCCTGTCACGTTGAAGGGGTCAACGCGACTTTGGTTCAGTCAGTTCCCCCCAGACTCAGTCACTTCATTTTGCCAGCTCAGCAAATCCTTCTTAAGCCATTTTATTGGTGCTTAGCGACAACGACATCCAGCCACACAACTGTTGAACATCCGACAGACAGAAGGAGAGTCATTACACAACTATGTCACCCGCTTCAACATCGAAGCCCTACAAATGGAAGAAAACGACGACAAATTCATTCTCATAGCCTTCATGGCCGGTCTGCACCCGTCTTGCTTCCTCTTCTCCCTCTCCAAAATCTCCCGACCACTATGGCTTCCCTTTTCGCCAAAGTCCAAAAATACATGAACGCCGAAGACTCTCTGGCAGCTCGTCAATACTCCATACCCAAAGCTCTACCCTCTAACGACAAAAGAAAAGAGCTCGAGCCACGACCCTCGCAATATACATACCGACCCCCACAACGCCCAAATCGGCCTACACGCTCGGACCGACCGGCACCAACTTGCCCACCCGGTCAGTTCGAGCGGTACACCCCTCTCAATTCACCCATGGAGGAAGTTCTGAACCAAATTCAACGAGACTATAACCTGAAATGGCCTCAATCATCTAGATCCCCCTCCAACCGGCGGGATCAATCCAAGTATTGCCGCTTCC